TCACCTCCGTCACCTCGGTGGGAAAGGATCAGGGGACTATGCTAATTGGTGATTACGCATCTCTCACGGCCCTTCACCTCGGTGGGAAGCCGATCGAGACACGTCCTACTATGGGCACTCACATGCCGCGGCGCCAATGGACTCGAGGTGGTTGGCCGCTGATGGTGATCACCTGCGCCCAGTCTTCGGTGAACCTGGGCCGCCACGCCATCGGCAGCATGAAGCAGACACAGTCCAGGACCGCGTCGGTGAAGGCCATGATGTAGCGCAAATGTACTGCGAGGGCGATGTAGTCACGGAAAATGAGATAGCAGGACTCCGGGTTGGTGAAGCCCACCTGTCGCAAGTCTCCAGTGATGAGGGCCCAGACATAGGTGCGGGTCACGAGCACCGTGGGGTCCGTGCTCTGGGTTGGCAGGGGCATGATGAGCACGCGTTCCACTGTTGGTGAGCGCCTGTACTGTAGGTGTTGGGGGCCTGGATCACGAGGCCAAAGTCGGTGAGCCTGGACTCGGTCACGTGGTAGTCCAGAGGTGTTCACGAACCACGGCGCGTCCGAGACAAAGGCCAAGTAGGGGTAGCTACTGGGGGGAAACTGTGCGACATCTTCTGCGGGCATGGTTGGCACCGGTGTAAGTGTGTGGTGCACGATGGCTGCCCTTGCCGGCAGTGTGTTGCCCGTGTGCCCCCATGCCTGTGGGAGGATGGGGTTGGGTGGTGTGGGTGCGTGATCGAGCGAGCACGGTATCATAGCCCGAATGGGGAGCGTGCTGCTGCACCCTTGTCGCCCTTCCGTGAAGATGCTGTGCTGCTGTGACGGCGCTGCCGGTGCTAATGGGCGGAGGATGGGCGCCGGTTGTGATGATGGCGCTGGGTGTAGTGGTGGCAAGGCAGCTGGTGGAAGCTGCTGTGGTGTCGGTGATGGTTGTGTACCAGGTGTCATCCCAGACGCTGTAGGGTGTGCTGGGGTGTTGTGGCGCCTGCAAGATGGAGGGATCGACTACTCTAGGCCGTGGCCCGAGCTGGGGCTCTGTGGTGCACTCTTGGCGGGCTAGGGCTACTGCGGGTGTGACAAGCTCCACGAGAAACCGCCCGCTGCTGTGAGAAATCATTCCAAGGATCGTGGTCATCCTGCACCAATGGTGGGGGCGGTGCTTTGGCTGGGCCGGTGGCTGTCGATGTAGAAGATGGCGCTGGTGTTCGCTGTTGCATCGGTGCGAGATATGCCGGGGGTGCCTTCCGCGGCGTGGTCGCTATTGCCGGCGCTGGTTGGCTGTCCTCGTCCGAGTCCGGTGGGATAGGTGGAGGAGCTTTGCGGGGTGGTGCTGCAGCTGGTTCTGGGGCAACCACGTCGTCCATCGCTTGCGGCATGAACCTGGCTGTTGGTGACTCCGTGCGCTGTCGGGCCGGCTGCTTGTTGTGAGGTGACGGTGCGCGTTTCGGCGCCGCCAGGTGCGCTGGGGGATCCTTGGGCATGGGCTTCACCGGCGGTGCCTGTGCAGGCGCTGTGCTAGGCTGCGGCTCTGATGGCTGACCGAAAGATGGTGCCGAACCTGATGTAGAGCTGGTCGAAGCAGCCGTCTGGAATGGTCGCAACAATGTTGGTGTAGCCGAAGGCGCCCGTTTCCGCCTTGGTGACGGAAACCTTGTCCTCGTCGGTGTCGGGGAACGTGTCCGATGACTGGGGCGCCCGTACCCCCCTTTGCTGGTCCTGGGGTCCGTCTCGGGTACTCCCCCTCGAGCAAGGTGGTTCTCATACGATGATGCCGTGGGGAACTTGGTCCAACTCATCCCCATGATGAATTGTTTGATGGCCATGGTGTCGCTGGTGGTCAACGATGTCTGGATCATGTCCATGGCTTCCGACCTGGTGACGAACCTGAAGATGGAGCGGCGCTGCACGTAATGTAGGCGTGTAGATGGCCTCTTCATGGTGAGTTGGCGAAATGCAGCATAGACCGCTTCGGGGAAGGTGTCGGCGTTGGGGCAACCACCTTCTTTATGGCAATGACCTCGAAAGAAGTTACGACACGGGGAGTTAAGGGGTACCCAGGCGTGGTCTACAAAATCGGGGTGCACGCATTCACAATGCGGTCTGCGACAAGTTTGGCGTCCACAGATATCGGGGCACACTCGTCGTTGGCCAAGAGGAAATTCTCGCTGCATGCCCATGGGGATGTCCTCCTGGAACTCGGCGAGGATCTGCATTGGTGGATTGAGGACCTCGTGCGCGGCGATGTCCTGGCCAAAGAAAAGCGCCCAATCACGCATGGTGGAGCCTGGCAGGCCCTCCCAAGGTGGGTACTCCACAACATCGGGGTTCCGGTCCAAAGCCGTCATGGTGAACGATGCAGGCCTGATGATGAAGCCGGCTCGGGCACCCCAGTGTCCGAAGAAGAGCTGGAGCTCGAGGATGAAGATGATGAAGGCGGTGACCGCAGGTGGTGTATGTCCGCCGCCAAGCGAACGAAATCCTCACGGTGAGGGCCGACCAGCTTATCCCTGAGGTGCACGAAGAGGTCGTTCCAGAGGAGCCCGCTGGTGGCCTTGTGCAAGTCCGCGATGAAGCGGCAGATGTAGCTGTTGCTGCGCCGGCCCTCGGCGGTGAACTGCTCCCACAAGCAGTTTTCAGCAAGGCGAAAGAGTTGGTGCTCCGGTGGGTACCTGGTGTCAGCAGAGCCGGAAATGGCTCAAGAAATTCCGGACACGATGTGTCCTACTCACACGGGGCACCAAACTTGAGCCAAAATGGCTACGGATGCAAACTCAAAGGCATGAACATCCTCACGCTTTGGGGTTCAGGATTTGGTGCTACCAGATTGTCATTCATGACGCATGCGTAATACACATTGGGGTTATGGGGGGGGTATTCTTACCAAAAGGATCTTCACTATGGTTACTATTGCTACTAGTACTACTCTTAGGACTATTGCTTATAATTAACTGTTATCACTATATACTCCGCCCAACCACTGAAACCACTGGGTTCTTCGTGCAAGCAAACCTACACAGGGATCATAATTCGCAGGGGCCCATACTATGCTAAGTGTACGCTACAGTAATGAGCTCCTGAAACGTTTCCTGTAGCCTACATGAGATTCCTTTCGCTTTTATGCGATTGTTGATTGTCCAATGACTGCTCCTTTGAAAGCCAGCTGCTGGAGAGGCACAATCCTTCAGACAAAAACCTTCAAGTTTGAAAATGAATGTAAATCCTGAGGCACGGACGTGTCTCTCACAACTGCGCGCGAGAGCACAATGCCAGGGCAAATTACGAGATACCCATGCCAGAGCAAGGTTTTGCAGCATCGAGGATCTGCACTTCACGTCAAAAGCGCAGACGGGATTGCGGCAGGAGCGCAATCGCGCACCCAAATTCTGAGAAGGATCCAGGAGGGCCAAGCCATGTGGCGGGAACGCCAGTTCGAGCAAAATTGTGAGCACGCTCCATGCGCGCAAGGAGCACAACCAGCGCACCTTGACCAATTCTCATTACTTACCCTGCAGGTTAGAAATCCGTAGTCCCACTCTGAAAGGAGCAAAGTTCGCTGCTTTAAGTAACATTCTTAAATCCAATTTACCAACAAACAGGGATAAAACCCCACTTCGAACGAGCCAAGTGGTAGACAAAGCTCCGGAACGTGGCTGTTTCAGCTGCCCGGCCGTCATAAAGGTAAGGAGACACGCTATTAGTAACAAGTGACTAGTGGCACTACTGGCTAGTCCATCCTATCACAGAAGGGGGACCCAGGGAAGCCCCAACAGCAATAAACTTAACCCGTATCCTTCATTCTATGCCATAATGCGACCATCCACGCCTAAACCTTGCGACCAAGGAGCTTGACATCGCCTCACTGAGGCCTCGGGCTTTACTGGCGGGCGCTTGGTACAGGCGAAACGAACACTTGCCTTAGGGGCCCCAGGGTATCCCAAGACAGAACAAGTCATCGGCTTAGTCGGGCTACCGAAAGCTCACTGAGAAAAGATCTTCCTTTCCATTGGGGATCCTTACAATAAGGACTATAGTATATTGGGGTCCATGTTGGGGTTCCCCTATTTTGGGAAAGTACCACATGGACCCGTCATCCTGCAAGTGTAGAAAACAAGAACAAAGCCTTGCCACAGAGTGAGGGTTTCGGGTTTGAGTTTGTATTTTGGAGTCGCCGCGACACTTTTCCGGACAGAACACCCAAAAGGGCTACTGTTACCTGTCTCTAGGATTGCTCATGCGATGCAAATGTCAAGTTTGCCCAAACACCGCAACCCCAGGCCCTCAACACTAACTCTGGCTCTGCGAACCCCAATCGTCAAGCATCAACGCTGGATTCTTTTGATTCCCTCGACCCAAAGACACTACACCTCACGGCTTGGGGTTTAGGATTTGGGGCTCAGGGTGGTTTAGGGCTGCTTGCGTGCTGACACTCAAACGCTTTTCCAGCACAAACCATGAATGTACTCTGTGATGGCGGCAAGGGGTCTAAACTGATGTGCACATATAGCCCAAACGTAAACCTCCTGCGTCCCTCTAGGTCCCCTAGGTAGCAACTATACCCCTAAACCCTCCCAAGCCGTAAACAAAGTGCAAAAGAAGGGTTGCCGCCTTCTGGAAAGCGAAAGAAATGGGTCATCTTGGTCTCTTCCATATGCCTAGGTTTCGCAAAATGGCGGTTTAGTGTTTCGGGCGGGTATCCTGCAGACACGGAGGAAAATGGAGATTACAAGAACAAATTATGGGGGTCCGTAATAAGGATTCAAAAGGTGCAATTATTGAAAACTCACCTTGCACGACGATTTGAGTTTTCCTGGGGGCGTCCGTTGATGGAAGATTCGAACAATCTCAAGCTCAAAAACATTCGCAAGAGCCGAACTCAGACAACCCCTCAGATCACGTGGCCACTCGCGCGCCGAAACCTGTAGTCATTCTGGACTAGAAGGGCTCTGCAAACAAGGAAACCGCTCACATACCGCACCTGACTTCCATACAAACAAGGAGGACGATAGCCTCTTGTCACATCCGTGCTGCCCCTCACCCTGCCACCTATCAAAGAAGCCAACAGTAGATGGGGTTCTGGAAGTTGCACTGTGTTGTGTTCCATGACGCACGGTGGCACCATCTAGGGGTTTCTAGGTATTCTGCGCCACTTTTTTGTTAGGCCCTCATAATATGGGATAATCAAGAAAACTGGTTTGGAAGGGTGGACTTTTGGCCTAACGGAATTTGAACGGGGTACGGAAGACAGAGGTGAACTGAAGAGCTCTGAGCCCAAGCGCTTGCAAGAGTCCTGCCTTTGGAATTCCTCCAGGACCCAGCCTCCCCAAACAATTGTTCCTAGACTTAATAAGGGGCCCCTATTGGATAGCATCGTCAAGTTGATGTGGGGGAGGTTTTTAGTTAACCTCCCATAAGGGACCTTAGTAGTCCGGCGGGCTATATCAACGCAACCCTCATTTCGAGATGTACCCGCAACATTCCCGCGAAACAAGGAAGACAGTGATCTTTTCAACAGGCCGCAATTCGTAATTCAGGTATCTTACGACTTGGGTGAAAAGCGATTCTCACCTCTTATGTAGAGCCGGCCACAATTCAGAGTTTCAGATTGCTTCAGGACCTAGGCTGCAAACCCTCGTTCAAAGATACTCGTTCCGCCTGTTTCATGCGGCAGCCATGATGACACATTCAGTCTTGCATGTTTT